CGTGCCAAGTCAGAAAGAGAAACAACTCCGGGCCTTCACTTATATATGGAGAGGCGGAGGGAGGCCCGCAAACCCCAGTCTCCAGACGCATTGCAACAATTCGCAACGGAGCGCTGTCGTGAGCCCTGTTTTATCCCACCCACTCCTCACATTTTCACTTTCATGCTATTTTTGCAACTCCTGTGGACCAATCCAGAGACACAGCGACTGGACAGAGAGAGACACCGGGAGCGAAGAGCGGTGTTGGGGTGAGAGAGAGAGAGAACCCCCTCCCCCGCCACGCACACCCAGCAAGCCCAAATAAAAGTCGTCCCCACTTTACAACGCTGCGGAAGGAGGGCCTGGGGGGCGCACGCGAGAGGAGGGGGCGAGGCCAGCGAGAGCCCGCAGCTGAGAGTCAAGGTGGCGCGAGGTCCCCCGCCCGCCACAGCGAGGGAGTCGCCAAGGTGCCCTGACGCTGACGCTTCCAAAAGCTGCCAACCCAGAGGGCCCAGAGCACGTACCAGCTGGAGGAGTGGAGAGGAGTAGAAAAGTCCATATTTATCTGTTTTTATACCCTAGGCCTGGTCTTTTTTTTTTTTTTTTTTTCTATGAAGTACAATAAAATGGGCGAGCTTGCAGCGAGCACTGCACAAAGCAATGTTCAGTGAGGTCTAGAAGCGCTCGGCCGAGGAAAACTGACAAGACAGGCTAATGAACCGTACAGACAGGGAGAAAACGGCCAGCATTTGCTAGATTTCAAACCACTGCTGTCTTTCTTAGACTACCTATCTTGGGTTTATTCCTAATAAAATAAGAAATAAGCAGACCCTTCTCTTTTCTTTAAGATAGAAGGGGGGTGGGGGAGGGATGCTCCAGAACAAAGCCCTACAATCAGAGGCGGTCACTGGCAGTTAACACTCCCATTATTATAGAGGGTAAATAAAATAAAGACAAAAATTAAAAGCGACAAGAAACAGGTCAAGTTTGCAGGCAAAGCTTTTACAAGCTCATCTCTCCAGGTCGAATCCCAGAGCCAGCCTTAATGAAGCAATAATAGCCACATTATTCAAAAATTTTCATTTCGATGGAAATGTATCTAAAAGAGACTTAATCATATGCAAATAATAAAAGGAGGTGGTAGTGACCCAGCGAGCAATATGCATACAGATTTTTTTTTTTTCCCAGGGATGTTGAAATTGAAAAGCACATACCTGGTCGGTTAGATTTGCTGATCTTGTTATATCTTCACTGTCTGATTTTGATCCACCCTCTCTGTCGTCTATCACCAAATCGATAGGCATTTTCCCTTTCAAACAGCTAATATACCGGTGGCAGAAATTGTCACATAATTCGTGTACCTACATTATGACAGAAATAAAAAAAAATGGAAATATAATCAAGAGTGCATAAATGACATTGACAAGTGCAATCCACCCCCCTTGTGAGATCCAAACTTCCAAATAGGGGAAACACAGGGCAATTGTCCTCCAGAGACCCCCAGACGCATCCAGAATTAGGAATAACTTTCTTTTCTTGCAAAATAGAGATATCCCAGAAAATTGACAGTGACAAGATGATTCACAGGCTACAACGTATTCAACACCCGTGTTAAATTCATCTGCTTCCAGGGCTGTGGCCATTAGAGAGGTGACCTGCGTAGGTGACACTTAAGGTAAACTATTTAATTTCATCCAGTTACTTTATCATAGGTCTTTTTCAATATGTCTAAGGAAAAATGCAGATATATGTAATATTGGATATATATATATATATTCAAAGGACCAGTACTGTGGTGGCATAGGATATATGCCTGACAACCCAAGTCCCTATAATATTTATAATTAGGATTTCAATCCATAAGAAGCCTATTTTAGGATACTTCCTTTTAAAAATAAAAGGAAATCAAATTGCCAGTAATCAATATGTGAAAAAAGCCTACAGCCACAAAAATGTATCACATTGATTTTTTTTAATATGAAAAGGAAAGAGATAGCTTCAAAATATTTAGGTGTAAGTGGAGTGGCCTCTTAAAGGCCCCAGTCATCACTGACATGCAAAAATTCACAAGAAACCCCAGCGTGCTTGCAATTCGACGTTAGTTTGAATTACAATGCATTAAGTTTTTATTGCTGAGATTTATAGAACAGCTAGCAAAATTGTGTTATCCCACACCCTTTCTTGAGTGTGAAGGTGGGGTGTGCACAGGATTTGCAGATTCAAGAAACTGACACAACTATCAACTCTGCTTTGTCTCTGCAAAACGTTTACTGTGTCTCTCCCACCACCTCCTCCAGACTCCCTGCCCGCTCCTTCTCCCCCCACCCTCGGCCTGGCCTCTCCTCTGTGTCTGACATGCCGCTTGCTCTCAGACTGTCTTCCAGAAACTCACTAAAACTAAACAAAACTTCCCCCCTCTCAGAGGTAGCAAAGAGGAAGAGGCCACAAAGGTATAACCCGGGAAGCAACTCACAAAAGCATTCATTCTAAACATCACCGGGGGATGATGCATAGAATTGCAACTATTTATACAAAGCCAGCAAGGTATTAAGAATGACTGCAAGGCTAGGGCGTTTGTGATCCCGGTTTCAGTGGCTGAAATTGTAATTAAACTGCAAAGAGAAATGGACGCTAAGATTGGCCTTGACACTAATTACCAGGAAGAAAGACATTTATGCAAATGTTTCAGGAGCCTGAACTTCAGCCATTCTGCACCCTCCCCCCACCCTGTGTGTTTGGGGGTGAGGGGGGCGAAAGGAAAAGGGGCTAGAGAAATTACCTTCTCTAATTCCAACAGATGAAACCTTAATACTTGTATGGCTTGAATCATCTGCAAAGACACAAAAAGAATGAGCACCCCATTCCTAGTTTGCAGGAAACTGGCTGTCACAGCTCTAGCATCTCCAAGCCCACCCCTTTCCCCCCCAGTAAATAGAGTTATTTTGATTTATGGCAATAACACTAAAACTTAATAGCAGCGACTGGGTACCATCTAGAGGTTTATATTTCTTAAGGAGAAAAAAAAAATAGCTAAAACAACAACAAAGCATCTAAGTGGGGATCATAAACACTCTCCTCCCCCATGGCTCTCTCCCCTTTCTCAGCCCCACTGCCCCCACCCCACCCCCAAAAGGGCCACATCCCTGGACTAGACGTTTCCTTGGAAGGTGAGCACGGAAAACAGTCCAGAGAGTCCCCAAATTGGGGGCTTTCAGCACTGCAGGCTTTCCGCTGCCTTCTGCACAGCTTTCAGGCAACCCGGTGGCTGGGGGGCTCTGGCCCGGCCGCTGCCCTCGTGACGGGCTCTGAGGGCTGGGGAGCCCGCAAAGTTTAAGCACACAGGCTGACAGGCCGGAGATAAATCCCCGCGCTGATTAGGGCTGCGCTGCCCGGCTGTCAGAAAAAACAAAAGCTCGCGTTTCTCCGCGCCGCTCGCCCGGCCCCTCTCCAGAAAAAATTTATTTCCCGGGGATCTTGTCCCGGACCACTTGTCCGTGGACGGACACATTTGCAGCCAGACCTGCAGCAGCGGGAAGACCGGTCTAGAAACCTCAGGGCTCTCAAAGCAAAGCTGG